AGTAGTAGTAGTACTAGTAGTAGTAGTAGTAGTAGTAGTAGTAGTAGGAGGAGCAGCAGTAGTAGCAGTAGTAGTATTAGTAGTAGTAGTAGTAGTAGTAGTAGTAGTAGTAGTAGTAGCGCTAGTAGTAGTAGTAGTAGTAGTAGTAGTAGTAGTGCTTTAAGTTAAAGGGATTAGGATTTTGTTTTAAGTTGAAGACTGAGGGTTTTGTAGTCTAGGGCCGTACGAATTTAGGTCTAGGCTTAAAAACTCGGGGGTCTGGGTAGTCGAAGCCTTAGGGCAGAGGGCTTATAGGTTTTGGGGTTTAGAGGATTACGGCTAAGGGCTCCAGGATTTAAGCAGTTAATTCAGGGCTCAAGCCTTGGTGGTTAAGGGGTGTAGGGAGTCTACGGGTTTAATGGTTTGGAACGTTAAGTCCTAAACCCTAGACCCCCAAGGCTAAGTTCCCAGCCTTCAGGCCTAAAATTGAAACCCTTGACAAAAGGGTAAACCCGAAGCACAAATCCTCTAGCTTAGCCTAGCCACAAGCCTAAATGGTGTTGTAAATTGCCGAAACAAATCAATCTAAACATGTAAATTCAATAATTCGAAACTCCACACATGCTCCTATACCCCAAAAAAATCAAATGTGATCAAATGTGTTCAAAACACACTTTTGATCACATTCGCGGATTGGCGAGTACTACTTGCACGATACGTGGAGCAAGGCAAAGCGGTGGACGGTTTGCAAGCGCTCTACAAATCCTCTGTATTCGGCGGACCAGATGCAGTGCGAATGAGCCTGGTGCCAGAGATGCCAGAGATGATGTTGGGTGAGAAGAGTGGATGGGAGTAGTTGAAGACGCTCCCAATGCCAAGGAGGATGAGGAAAAGGCTACATAAGTCTGAGGTGTGGATAGTCAACATGTACGGGGGAAAGGACAAGAAGCACGACCCCATCCAGACACTCTCAGGGACTACGTCATCGCAGCTACCGGGTGAAGCGGTGGTAATCAACGTGGATGTTTTGTTGCATGACGGTTGGGACCTGAAGGGCGAGACCTACAAAGTGATTCTTTGGGGAGGTGTGTCGCGCGGTAGCATCGGAGGCAGCTTGGCCTGGACTTGGTCCTAGTTGGGGCTGCGATGCGGGATCAGAGGCACTTGCGACACCTTGTCCTGCCCTATCAGGTGCGGGACAGAGCGGTCGTCCTTCTGGAAAGTGCGACTGCTGAAGGAGTGGAGCTCGACAGGATCCTTTGCAGTGCTGCAGCTGGGCTTACTGACAATGCATGGGTTCTTGTCCAACTCGGCAGTAGCAGCAGTAGTAGCAGTAGTAGCAGCAGCAGCAGTAGTAGCAGAAGTAGCAGTAGCAGCAGTACCCGTAGCAGTAGTAGCAGCGGTAACAGTAGTAGCTATAGTGGCAGTAGTAGCAGCAGTTGTAGTAGTAGTTGTCGTCGTCGTAGTGGTAGCAGTAGTCGTCGTCGTCGAAGTGGTGGTGGTGATGGTGGTGGTGGGGGCCGCGGTCTTGGTGTGTCGACGGGAACGTGAACGCATCACTTGCATGAATTCCGTCATCTATCTTTCTGCCGTTTGGACCCTTCCTTCCTTCCCGCCATCCACGAGAAAGTAAGAGCCGAACAACACCACGGAAATGCAATGCAATGCATTGGTACTACGATGCGCGCCTCTCTCTGTCCATGTTGCCTTCGCTCTAGGACGGTCACTGCAACACTACGGGCCGCACTGCGGGCCGCAGGAGCCTTTGTGGGTCCGTCTTCCTCGGGCTCGAGACTCTCTAAGCTAAGCTCTAAGCTCCAACAAGAATCTGAGCTGTGGCTTTCAGAATTTGCTATGACCCGGAAATACAGCGCTGTAGCTTAAATGCATTTGCCTCGCTGAATTTTGCTCGAGCCCAAACCGGCGAGTGGTGCCAAAAGCTTCTAAAGCTCCAATCGGATTGAGAGCTCTGCACGGCAAAAGAGTGGCCATGTTTTTCTTCGCGCAAAAGCCTGGGGAGAGCGTCGTCTCACACGTGTCATTCCGCGAAAGACTTCCCCAGGGCTCAGCCGCAAAGGCCTCATGCGAAGCCTGGCCTCTGGTGCACTGCGCGCAGGAGTCGGAGCCACCGCAGGTTGGCCAACACTGAGGTCCGGGCATTTGGTAAGCACCGAGTTGGAGTTGTGGCTGTGTTTGGAGGGGCAAAGGCTGAAGTACCAATTGCTGTTGAATTGGAAGCGGCTGCATTGGTGGTGGTGGGGGTGGTTGTAGTGATTGTAGTGGGTAATGTAATGACTGGAGAGGTTGAGCCGCGAGGGGCATGGATTGTTGCAGGGGTTGCAGGGACTGCAACGGCTGACCTAAAGGTGGTGCATTCAAGGCACCCAAAGGAGCCCCCATGCAGGGTGAGCTTTGCAGGCCGGGGCCGGGCGGGCCGGGCGGGGGCAAGGGACCCGGGCCCCCCAAGCCTATTGGCTGCATGGGCTGACCTAGACTCAGACCCGGACCCGGAGCACCTAAGGGAGGAGGGGGACCGCCTATGGGACCGCCTATGGGCGCACCTGCATCCAAGCCTTGGCAGCCTTGGCCTTGGCCCAAGTCATTGCCCAGTCCGAGACCATCGCCAAAGCCAGAGCTGCCGCCCCAATCGTCGCTGAGTCCCAGACCGCCCCCTCCCCAGTCTTTGCCCTTGCCATGTGGCGGCGGGGGCGGGTTAATGCCACCACCGAAATCGCCCTTGCCATACTGCCAGCTTCCGCTCCAATTGCCGCCACCCCCACCCCCAGACCAGGCACCCTGCGCTGCCCACTCTCGCTCGGCTAGTCTCTGCTGGACCAGGTCTTTGGCTTTCAGTACGGCATCTTGACTTCCAGCAAAACGCACTGTGCTGAATCCCTGTCCTTTGGTCTCCTGGCTGAGAACGATGATTGCACCACTCTCTGCTTTGATCTGCCGCAGGGTGTCGCCACCACGGCCAATGATCGCCCCGACTTGGCCTGCGGAAGCAGAACGCGAGCCGCAACGCGCCCCGCAGAGTCCCTACGCGCTCAGTGCGTTTCAGTCCTTGAGGAACCGAGAGCTCCTCGTACTCGCCTCGGTCCGGCCGGGGCGGCGTGGCGACGGCGAGACGGCGAGACGGCGAGTCGTCACGGCTGTGCGGCAGTTTTTAGATGCCGGGGGCGCCTGCGGGTGCCCGCTGGACAGCTGCCTGAGTCTGACGTCGGTTCAGAGCCATTAGCGAGCTCGGAATCGGCGCCTCCTTCACTTGGTCCAGCCTCCCAAGATGAGAGGAGAGGAGAGAGTCGAGACCGCAAAAAGGAGGCATATGGCCGCGGCACCGCATAGGGGGTGCGCCTGTACTTCACCATCTCGGAGGCTTCTCGCAGTCCGGGCCTGGCCAGCGGATGCCCCCGGCCCCATCTCTCACCGGGCGTCAGCTTTCTCTGAAAGGCTCGCGGCCCATCCATGATGCGGATCATGCTATACCTCCGTCTCTGAGTCGGCAGCGCAGACATCACAGCTATTTTTGTTATGGCTCTATATATATTATATATATATATATATATATGTATGAGGCGCGCCCGTAGTCCTTCGTCTCTTGGTCGATGACCTGTTTGCGGCATGCCAGGTCAAAACTGGGAAAGAAGAGAGCCCTCTGCTGAGCCGTGTCTGGGCGTCAAGGCCACGGTGGCACCCGTCTGTGCCTGGGGTGCAGAGAAGGCATCTCTGCAGAGCAGAAGGCATTCAAAACCGCCTGTATTCTCTTGATGTATTCGCCCTGCTTGCCGATGAAGAAGCCCACGGCAGACCTCAAGGAGCCGAGCCGCTCTCCGCAAAAAGCGTTCCTCCTAGGTCCTAGGACCGCGGCTGTTCGATCTGCGTCTCCCAGCCAACGGCCCCGCTGCCCCCGCCCTCCTGCCCTTGCTGCACCTGCACACTCTCACTGACGCGAGAAGGGAGGGAGAGGGCGAAATCTGCTCGTTCCCGCCTCCGTGCGGTTCCGGTGCATGCCGGATGCGTTTTGTCGCTTTTCGCTGATGCGGCCGTCCAGCAGGGCCTTGGCCACGGCCACGGCCTCCACGGAGAAGACAACATGCTGAGCCATCCGAGCCATCCCTGCTGCCCTGCCCTGCTCTCCTGCTCAGAGCCAGTGATGCGGACCATGCTGTAGCCCATCTCCTCACAAACGATGGCCCTGCACTCCCTCGGCCCTCTCTTGCTGACACGAGTACCTTGGAGGTCTGGTCGATCTTGATGGTGGCTGTGCTGCTGACTTCCATGCTGCGCAAGGTCTCGCCGCCCTTGCCAATCAGAAATCCTCAGAGAATACAAGTACACAGAACTCTGCAGCTCGAACTCTAGGGCCACCACCCACCACACCTTGATCCACCTCCATGAACACGCAAAACAAAACTAGGACACTAGGACAGGACACCAGGACAGGAAGGCCTAAGGCTTTAAAAGGGCCATGGCCCCCGGCGGCGGCGGCATCGGACCCCCGGGGCCGCCCCCGCCCGCCCCCGCCCGCGCGCGCACGCCTTGAACTCGACCACGGCAGCTCCAGGCGGCACCTCGGAGCCGAAAGCCGAATCGACTCGGACGGCGGC